TTTTTTTTCTATCGGAACCTTGTTGTTGTTTAATCCCCACCATTTTGCACGGCTAGGGCCGAAGTTCCTGTTCCTAGTTTCTCTTATCCGGAACTGTTGATTCATGTTTGCATGCAGTGGATTCTTCCCGAATTCGTGATTGCAAGTTTGGGTTCGAGCAATTTATTCATTCGTTCTTGTTGTTTTCTTCTGGCAGCTTCTCAATTTGTCCATTGACCACGACTCGTTTTTGTTTTTACTGATACACTTTAAAATTCCGTCGGGTTGTTTCCATACTTCCTTTTCACACGTTTCCGTACTTGAATGAACCAAGTTTTCCTCTATGACTTCTAATTGTAGGAAGACTCGTTCAATCGCTTTGATTGTCTCTATCCAACCCCGGTCATTTCTTCTGATATCTTGAAATTCGTTGTGCGCAAATTCTTGATCGTCGATGTGTTGCCAAATTTCATAGTATTTATTTAACAATTCTGCAATTTCCTGGCATGGCATCGTATCCACGTACTTCATCTTGAGGCATCTCCTTTCAAGCATGAAAGCAAGTAGCTGAACTTTTCCGGAGAGATTTTACTTTTGGACTCCTGCTTGGAAGTCTCTCCAAAATTACCTCCACTTTTGAGGATCTTCAGTGATAATTATGGGAAATTTACCGATGCTTGGCGAGCCATTTGGACCATCTGTTCTTGGGCCACCCGATTCATGTTGCGAAAGTTAATCTGTTGAACTCGTTTCTCAACGATATCATTTATTCGGGATGTAGTATTGTTCTTGCACAGTATTACTAGTTAACAACAAAAAAGGTAAAATATAGATGTATATATTACACGATGAATTGGTAAGCAGTGATAAATGAGTTATAGAAAAAGTAAGTAATATGATCAACTAACAAATTCTTTACCGTTGCCTTCGATAATAATCTGACTGTTGGTTAGTTGATAGGTCGTTGAGTTGAAGATATGTTACGGGAAATGTATTTAGCCTAAATAAGTGAATGAAAAGAATATTGTAGTTTGTTGTCCAGTGATGGCGGATATATGATAATGTCGCTATTTTTGGTTCAGTCGTGGAGGACTTGCGAAGAGGATGTACTGTCTGCTTGATTGTAAACTTTTGTGAAAACTAAACTGTTTCTTCTTTTTTTTGTTAAAAATTGTAAATATA